GTTTCTGTTCCACACAAAACAAAGTACATTCTCCTACTATCAATTTCTGCCTTTCACTAAAAATAGAAAAAACTAGCTGGCCATGGTGGTGTGCTCCTGTAATCCCAGCTACTTGGGAGGCTGAGGCAGGAGGATCGCTTGAGGCCAGGAGTTTGAGGTTGCTGTGAGCTAGGCTGATGACACAGCACTCTAGCCCAGGCAACAGAGTGAGACTCTGTCTCAAAACAAAAAAAAAAAATACATTCATGGGAGCCTGGAAAACAGGCCTCTTCTGGGGACTGACCATACAGCCCCTTGCCAGAGCTAACTGTAAGCTAGAAGAGGTATTATGAAGGTAGACTTCCTCCTGGACATTCCACATGCCTAACTTGTTCTCTTCTTTTCCCAGTTTGTTGCTCAGCCCAACTGCCAACAGTTGCTTGCCACCCTGTGGTACGATGGCTTCCCTGGATGGCGGCGGAAACACTGGGTAGTCAAGCTTCTGACCTGCATGACCATTGGATTCCTGTTTCCCATGCTGTCTATAGCCTATCTGATCTCACCAAGGAGCAACCTTGGGCTATTCATCAAGAAGCCCTTTATCAAGTTTATCTGCCACACAGCATCCTATTTGACCTTCCTCTTCATGCTTCTCCTGGCTTCTCAGCACATTGTCAGGACAGACCTCCATGTACAGGGGCCTCCCCCAACTGTCGTGGAATGGATGATACTGCCTTGGGTTCTAGGTGAGTCGAAGGAACCAGGAGCTATGGCCAGACTGCCTGCTGGTCCTGTCTAAAGAAACTACTAGAACAGGCAATCAAACTGGCTCTGAACTAGGGCACCTCCCCACTATGCAGTGGGGTAGTCCTTTGTTGGAAGTCTGAGAAATGTGGTCCCTTCCTTCCCAGGCCCTGGTCACTCAATAATGCATGGTCCATAGTGAGATTCGCAGTATACCCAGGGCTCGCTTCTGCTAACCTAACATCTTGAAGGACAGAGAAGCTGTGGGTCAATTGGGTTAGAGGGAAAGCCAAGTATCAGTCAGAATGGGCCTCAAGGAAGCTAGGTAGAGCAAACACTGATCAGTTTATTCAAAATCGTCTTTCCCATAACCAAGGGGCACGTGGATATGCTGCTCTCTCATGGATACTTCACACGATCCCAGTACTTTCTCAAGGTTCACATCCTATTTGGACACTGACTCCATAATCAGGGGGGAAACCTGGGAAATTCACACACATCGTGGTAAAAGTAGCCCTACCAGTAGTCTTCAGGCATAATTAGGTTGTGTTGAACCCTCCGACAAGTGGTCATCCTCTAAGTTCTTGCTACTCAAACTTTGGCCCCCAAACCAGAAATATCAGCATCACCTGGGAGCTTGTTCGACATATAGAATCTCAGGTCCCACCCTGGATCTGCATTTTAACATGATTCCCAGGTAATTCACATGTACTTTAAAGTCTGAGAAAGCGCTGCCCTGGCTACAGCTACACCTTTTACTGTTTTCCATATTCCGAGGCTAAACAAATGTCTATGTCATCTGGTAAAATTCTATGAAACCCCACACGATGAGAGGAGAAAGGAGAAAAGAGGACCCTAAATTATTTTGGGCCCCACTGCCTAGCTTTGGCCCCAACATTTGGTAATTTGGTCCATGATCAGCTTGCTCATCTCAAAACTCATTGAGAAGTTTTCTTTCCAGCACCTAGAGTAAACTAAGGACTATGGGATAATATTGATCTAATTAATTTATTGATGGAATCACTCCAACTTCAAAATGGGAAGAAGGTAGAATCAGGCACCCAAAATTGCAACAGCATTCCAGTGACTATACTAAAAATGCTAAAAGTGAGTAGTATCCAGAAAGGTATAACATATGGGCATCTTCAGGAAAATTTTACCAGGTTAGGAACATTCAAAACTGGGAGGTGAGGTAGGAAAGGAAGAGAGATAAGTAATTGCTACTGTCTCTCAGGGCTTCAGTCCACTGACCCCAATTCATTCATTAATTTCATTTTTATCCATTTGGAGGGGGATCTTACTATGATGACCATGACTGACCCTATGTAGAAATAAACTGTTTGCCTCCATTCTTTAGGTTTCATTTGGGGGGAGATTAAGGAGATGTGGGATGGTGGATTTACTGAGTACATCCATGACTGGTGGAACCTGATGGATTTTGCAATGAACTCCCTCTACCTGGCAACTATTTCCTTGAAGATTGTGGCCTATGTCAAGGTAAACTGCAATGTCTGCCATTTTTCTTAAGTGGTGATTTTGGTTACATTAAGCTTTTGCACTGGGAGCATAAAGAGTTTAGGGGAAAATAATGATGATGGTCCAATCCATACAGGAAAGTACCATATAAACACACATTCTTTCAGACTGATTTGTAAGCAGTGTCCACCTAAGCAAAGAAAGCGCAGAATGGAACAATTTACAAATGAATCATAAGCTTCTGAGACTTTTGGGGGTAAAAGGATCTTCAGCTTTCAGTGTTTAAATCCTCTCCACAATATCCTTGCCAAGAGAATGGCCCAATGATGCTTGCATAGGGCAGGGACAGGAAATTCACTGAATTCACTATCCCAAAAAGCCTCTCTTAACTCTTTGTACTTCACTTAAAAGAGCTGGTTTATATTCGTCTAATATTATTCTCCCTGTGCCACATCCATTGGCAATCCTTCTTCCCTGTGGGGTCATACAGAACAAGGCTGTTTCTTCTTCTAACAATGCTTCCAATATGAAGTCATCTCTCCCTAACCTGCTGAATCATCTCTTCTGAAAGCTAAACATCCCCACTTCCCTCAACTGTTCTTCATATGACAGGTAGCAGAACTCCAGAAATTTCGCTGCAGGGGACACAAACTTTTAATAACCTCTGCCTCCTTCATCACTACCGGGGTAATCGTTCGAACAGTTATGAATCTAGCTTTTTGAGTATCACCCAACCTGTGCCTCTCTACCAATTCAAATAATGTACACACACCACCACCACCACCACCTTAATGCTTTTCCCACACAATGCACAGCTTGAATTATCCTGAAAATACCTTCATGTCCAACACCCCACTCTGAGTAATCACAGGCTCTGAATTCAGGTCTGGTGTCTATTAAATAATGGTATGGATGTACTCCTTCTGCCCTGAGTTGAACTTTTCCATGAGGAAAGGCTGACAATTCAGTGTCCAACATTGTCTAGTCAGTCATGCTTTTTGGCACTAAATTCCACATTAAGGAGTTTTAGAATGGAAATATGGCTGTCCCCCAAATCTCCAACAACTGAGCTTATTTTTACATCCCTAATATGCATATTGCATAAATTTGAAGACCTTGGGAGTTATGTAGAGCATGAATATTGAATGCAGTCATGATACATTCTTGAAAAAAGCCCAAGAGTAGGCCTTATACATGTGGTGATCATTTAACACATACTTACAACTGCCTTAAAAGAAAAAGCTAGCGAGAAAAATGTTTGAATCCCTGGTTAGTATGGTTGGGTGAAATCCATGTCATTCTGGCACTCTGCTGACTAAGTAACACTGTTTGCCTAAAAAAAAACATTTCTTCCCCTGGAAGTGGTATTTATATACTGTAGGGACCATAAATTATCAATCTAGAAATTTGTGGGTTTTGTTTAAACAGGAAAGTTTAGAATAAATGACGAAGAAAAGGATTAACATTTGGGGATATGAAAATGTGTCTATAGATGCTCAACATTAGCCAATCACATAGCCTGTGCAACTTCACTGGCAAGACCTCTAAAGAGCTACAGTTCACTAGACACTTCCCCACCACAAAGTATAAGGATAAATCTGCTCTATTAAGCTGGGTAAATGCCCCTCAACTGACAAATGCTTTAGTTCGATGGAGACTTTTGCCAAAAAGTTGGAGTCCTTCTCGTGAAAGGAGAATTTACAAAGGAAGACATGCCACGTGCAGAATTTGGATTTGCAAGGAGAATTTCTAAATGGGCAGAGTCTGGTCCACTCATCCACAAAGGTACACCAGTCTGAGATGGCCTACCCCAAGCAGGCTGAGCCAACTTCTTTGAGGGAAAGCTACAAGAACCGCTCCACAGGCTCTTTGAAACATTTCTGATCACCATTGTACTGAGGCAGTACAGAAGTGCCAAGAGATGAGCTGGCCTTAAAAAAGACCCTTTATTAGATTGAAAAATTAGTCAACAACATACACTCCACCTCACATGGTCTACAACAAGAGCCAACAGGCACACACCGAAGTACTTAAAAGGAGCAAATAAACATAACATTGGCCCTCAATGCCCCAGATAATCCTACAAGTGCAGAATAATTGTTCTTTTGTCTTCTAGGGTAGCACCCACCACCACCCAACTGTCCTGTGCACAGACTAAATCTGGATTTTGCTACTCACTGAGTTGCAGTCTTTTCTTCAGCCAGTGCTTGGCTAAAGACACAGTTATACCCCCTCAAATTATTATCACTATTGAGTTCCTACATTAGGCTGTTCCTCTTCATATTTTGCTTTTGGGTTGACAGAATGCAATTCACACTGGTTTGAAAGGCAAGGAGGCCAATTTTCAAGCTGCATTCCTTTTTAAAAAATATAAGAAAAATCACTTTCCTCCCAGTATCACTAACCCAAGAGTCAGGAGACCTGAATTTAATCCCCACTCTGATATTCACAAGCAGGATTACCATAGGCAATTGCTCTACCTCTCTGAGCCTTAGATTCCGGCTCTGATACATAAACAGATTGTACTAGATCCGTGGTTTTCAACCTTTTAATTTTTTCCCATAGAAGCACATCTTCGAGCAAGAACTTACACAGAACTCCCATATATATAGAAGCCCAAAGGACTGAGTTTGGCTTAAGGAATGAGTCTTCTAGGCCCCCTCTTTGGCTCCCACAGTCGCCACTAAATGCCTCCATTGAATCTTCAGGCTCTAAGGAATGCAGTTTGAAAACCATTGCATTAGACTGGGAGTGCTGGCCCATGCCTGTAATCGTAGCAGTCAGAGAAGCCAACGTGGGAAGATTGCTCACACTCAGAAGTTCGAGACCAGCCTGAGCAAGAGCGAGACCCCGTCTCTACTAAAAATAGAAAAATTAGCTGGGAGTCGTGGTACACACCTGTAGTCCCAGCTACTTGGGAGGCTGAGGCAGGAGGATCGCTTGAGCCCAGGAGTTTGAGGTTGCTGTGAGCTATGA